GGCTTCTTCACCTGAAGGGAAAGTGCAGGTGTGATGTTCATGAAGCCTGACGTCTCTTTCAGGGCTCTAATTTACCCCGGCTGCCTGTTCACACTAGTCAGGCAGAGACCGTCTTTTTGAGCTGACTCGGTACCTAGTGTACAGAGGTCCTGATCCATGATTTTCCTCTGAAACACTATATTTAAATGTCACCTCAAATTTTGCTCATTTAGTATTAGTTATTTAGTCTATAGCAGGTTTCCTTGGCTTCCTAGCACCTTCCTTGGCACCTCCAGAGGACATCCATCCCACCCAGAGGTTGCCATTGCAATGTCTCCAGCCAAATGATCATGTGATCAATACATTTTCATCTTGATTTAAAAAGCATTTCAATGAAAGAGGCAGATTTTCTGAAAGACACTTTGCCCGGCTTTGTGGAACTGTATTATTTGCATGCTAACATGAAGATGTAATCAGTCTTGAGTTTCTAGCTCTTTACAGCTGTGATTTCTTTTACAGACCTTTGAACCTTTCCGTTCAAAATGTTGCCAAAAGCAAAGATTTAACCAGCATGAAAAATACTCCCACAAATTCTCATTATTTTACTTCCTGGAGTCCTTGGGAAAAAGAGCAAATTCAATAGGGTGTGGTGACATTTGCTGGCATCTCAGACTTTGTGGAATTGCAACGTTCAGAGTATTTTATTCTTCATATTTAAGGACTCGGTTCGTTTTCAGCATGTTGCTGTACCAGTGGCATTGCCCATGCTGTGTGCATGACTGGAGCTTAAACATATTTGCAGGACAGGACTCTACATGCCCTGCGAAATACATTCGTGTGCCCCAGTGCTACAAACCCATTAAGTACGAGCTAAAAATCCCAATGGCATCTCTGGAAGAAAAATTAAGCAGGTGCTTCGTGTTCTACCAAATACAGAAGACCAAATATCTGATTATCCTTGGAGAAATGCTGCCAGGCTGGCTCCAACTGGGAGAGTTGGGTCACTCAAATAGACTTTCCCATTGCAATGCGAAATTCCCGGTTGGTACAGGTCGGCTTGCTTCTCTTTGGAAAATCTTGGGCTGAATCTGCCTGGCATGTGACCTGAAATTCATGAACGTCTATTGCCTTGATTATTTGCATAAAATTCAAAGCCCAGGTGTGATGGGAAAACGAGATTGTCTTCATGCTTTCTTGACCCCAGTAAAGGCAGATTGTCCTGAAGCTGACAAACGGGTTCGAATCAGATATTAGAGCTGAATGAATATAATGGGATTAAAGGTGGGGCTGCCAACAAGAAAGAGGGAATTGTCATTTTAGGCTCCCACACTCTTCTTCCTTCAGCCCACTGTCCACAAGGTATGCGAGTGATGCAAAGGCCGGGTTATTGTGTGGAGGAGCTGGGGTTTGTGGGCTCCATGCCCAGAGGCAGATGTGGCCTTTTGCATCTGTCAATTTGGATCAACTCTACTAGACTCCGTCAATCTACAAAGGGGCATGTCTGGAGCGACACTGAGCAGGATTTGGTCCCCAGCTGTCCCAAAAAACTTGCTCCTGGACTTTTTTTTTCTCCAAAATAGCCTGATCTACATGAACGTTTTCAAGTAGGCAGCAGAAACCATGGGTTTTGCAATACTCGGGGGTTGAGAAGGGCAGGGATGATTAAAGGTATTCTTCCAGAAATGCAAGAGCTGCTGGGCTGCTTTGGTACCCTGGGGAGCCGGCTGGTTATTTGTGTGCAGGTTTTGTTTTGCAGGGAGGAGATCAACATAAATTATGAGCTGTTGGGGCAATGGGAGCTTCTTGTTTGAGTGTTTCTGCTTGTTATTTACATACAAATGAGATGAAGTCCAAGTGGTATACATTGAGACAGAAAAGATGAAGATAACCTTTCGAAAAACATCCTCTTTTAGGTGGGTGGGTTTTGCCTTCTCAGGAAGGGCTGATCCATTTGGATTTCACCAACCCCTAGTCCAGAAAGTGTTGCTAAGGCATGCCGTTTATTAAAAAATAATTAGTGATCTGCTACCTGCTGATCACATCCAATAAACCATCTTGCTTTCCATCAGAAAAGCACTGCAGACATGGGGAGCCAGATTCCACCACGCTCGGCACAGCCTCTGTGCTGGGAGAGAAGCAGAGGCAGATGCTCAACCAGTGGGAACCAGTGCTGGGTTCATCACCATCAGACCGGCGTGGACAGACCGAGCCTGGCGGGGTGGTTGAACTCATCCTTCAGCCATGGAGAAGTTGGGGCAGACAAGCCGTGAGTCAGCAGTAAAGTCTAGGAAGCAGAGCGGGATGTCGGGGAATAAATTACAACACCCGGTCCTCGGTGTACCTTTCATGGCATAAATTAACCTGTCCACACCCTGTGCTGCTTCCAGACTGGGTGAGAGACGGATTTCTCCAAAGGGCAATTCAGAGCGAAGTTCTCAGGGGCTTTCGGCTGTGCCCAGGCGAGCCGTGGGAGGGAAGAAGCCGGCAGGGCCGGCTGGTTTTCCCGGTATCCAGCTGTGCATCCAGCTGGGATGAATGCCACCGTGGCAAGCCCTTCCCAACCATGTTATAGAGACCTTGCAGGGTGTCACCATCCCGTGGAAACTGGGGACCCTCACAGAGAAAAGGGAAGGGGCAACCTGATCTCACCTAAATCCCAGTCTAAAATGATGGGAGAGGGTTTTCTCCTCCCTGCGCGGGATGTTGGAGAGGGACGTCCAGGCACAGCCTACGCACTCTGCTCTTTGTTCATGTGTTTTAAGGAAGGTGGGGTGGCGGAGGAAGAAAGGCCCTGATGCTGCGTTTTGGGAAGGTACACTTTTCTCTTGCTTTCTTTTAAAATTAGCCTACTCTTGTGAGAGGGTTTCAGGGATGGGGTGTGGGATTATTTTCTTTTTGTTACTACCTGAGCTGGTTCTCACCGGTTTCTTTAAACAAGGGCCTGGCTGCTTTTTTGTTCTGCCCCCAGAGATCCCAGACAGTGTGAGAGATCCCAAGTGAGCCGCACATCCCACGAGCGGTTAAATGTCCTGGTTTACACTGCATTTCCAGACTTTCTGGTGGCCAAACTCATCTCTGGATGGAATAAAGGTATGCAAAAGTGCATCAGGAAGGAGAGCAAAGTCTCAAAAACGCTTTGTTAAAACTCCACTTCTTGCGAGCTACCAACCCCACCCATTTGGAGAGTCATATTTGAGAAAGTATCTATGCTTTTGTAATATCAGGGAGGGAAATAAAAGCCATGAAGCGAAGCATGAATTATGCATGTAGTTTATTGAAGGTACAGCTGAAAGTTTGGAGTAAGCGAAGGATAATCAACTCTGTTCACTTACACATTAAAAGCATTAAATCTGTCTATCTAGTACACACACAGGAAAAACAACGCATGCATTTAACTACAGAAATATAAGGTGCTCATCGGTGTGTAATTAAAATCTGCTCTACCGAACCTGGTGTAGCAACTTGGACCAATTTACATAAGCATTACCAACCCTCTCGTAAACAGGAAAAATTGGAGTTTCTGGTGTCATTAAAGAAGTTAAATAATAGTTGCAGCTCCATCTTGGACAATTAAAATGTGGCTTCTCTTTCTGAAGTTGGGATGACCAAACTGTTCATGTTTTTGCAATAGCTGCATTATTA